CCAAAGCAATCTACATATTTAATGCAATACTGATCCAGATACCAACAAAATTTTTTAAGGACATGGAAAAACCAGTTACTAACTTCATATGGAAAGGCAAGAGACCTCAGATAAGCAGAGCACTACTGAGGAAGAACAAAATGGGAGGTCTCACACTTTCGAATCTCAAAACTTACTATACAGCCACAGTAGTCAAAACAACATGGTATTGGTACAATGACAGACAGATAGACCAATGGAACAGAATGGAAAATCCAGAAATAGACCCATCCATCTATGGACATCTGATCTTTGACAAAGGACCAAAACCCACTAAATGGGGAAGAGATAGCTTCTTTAACAAATAAAATAAAAAAAAGAAGAAAAACTCCCTGCCATAGAGTTGGATCTGACTCATAGCCATCCCTCCGGGGTTTCTGAGGCAGTATCGGTATGGAAATAGATTGCCCAATCTTCCTTCCAAGGAGTAGCTGGTGGGTTTGAACCGCCAGCCTTCTGGTTAGCAGTCAAATGCCTTTGGCACTATGCCACCTGGTAAAATTCGATATCCACTTGCAGAAAAATGAAAGAACACCCATACCTCACTGCATACACAAAATTGTGATTTGGGTGAAAATTTACAGAGCAAATTCACTTTCCATACAGCAGTTCACATACACTTTGTCTCATGACATTGACTACAATATCCCACAATACAATAGGTCCCCTCCCACTTTCTCCCCATAGTTACCTCTTCCCTGTGTCCTTTTCTCCATGCACTCCTGCCCCCTGAGCTGTCTCCCTGTGCATACACAGCCCTTTTTCTCCCGTGATTTTTCTCTCTGAGCAGTGTATCCATCTAGTGTAAATGTTGACCTCATATGCCTGTCTTTTGTTTGGCTGGAAGCCACAGGAGTGGGTTCAATTCCAGACCTGAAGAGCAGCTAGGAGCCATAGTCTCAGTGGTTCCATCAGGCTCTATCAGACCAGCAAACCTGGTTCCTTTTTCTTTTTCCCCCCAAATGATTTTGAGTTTTGTTCCACATTGTTCTCCGTCTCTATCCAGGATCTCCTACATAGATCCCCCTCTGAGTGGTTGACAGTGGTAGTGGGGCACCATCTAGTTCTTCTGGTCTCAAAGTTGTATAGGCTGAGGATCGCATGGTGTACCAGTTGCTTGGACTAATTTTTTCCATGAATCTTTGGTTTTCTTCATTCTTCTTTTGTCTGGATGAGGAGAGACCCATTGTTGCATCTAGATGGTCGCTTGCAAGCTTTTAAGATCCCAGTCACTACTCATCAAAGTAGTTTGTGTAGTATGTTCTGCTAATTGAGCTTGATGTCCTCTGCGACTATGATCTTGAGCCCACAGGTCCGACTACTTACTCCTTCTGGGTATGCCCAAGAAGTGACTACAACCTTGTCCCTTGTCAGCTCCACTGTATACCTGGGAATTCTTACAGAACCTAGCAATACACTTGTAGAACCCTTGTTGGCCAACCCTATACATGGTCTTGGGTATACTCCCCACTGCATAGATACCTAGTAGTTCAGCCTGACCACCCATCTATCCACCTGTATACCCATGTTTGCCTTCACTGACAATGCAGTACTGTATGTGCAAAAGGGTTAATCTTTGTTGTCTG